GCAGTCAAGCTTTAGACAGATGTTTTGCAGTCATATTTGTGCAACTACTGGATCGTTTATCCGGAGCATTCATGGCCTCGTCGTTGACCAAGTTAACACAGCAACTGTATTTCGATCTTTCACTTCTCGGGAACGCAAGTACTGGATCAACTCGGGAGGCGATTATTTTATTATTGAATATATTCTCTGCAACGGTTCGGCCATTTTACTATTTATCCTATTTAAACTCAGTACTGGTCACCTAGCTCATAGTATAAATTCTTTGTGCATTGTGGGAATATGAATATCGTAGGATTTTAACTATGTTGACAAGTTGAAGCATGACGGTTCTTCACGTTAGCTAGTTTTCCTGGTTTCCCTCAAAAGGATGATCAAATGGAGTCAAAACTACCCGTAACTTCGTATCGTGACGGAGAGCACTGTGTCTCAATTACTCTGCATACGACGCTTGTGGTTTGCATCCACAGTGGCTAAATCGCGTCTAGCACGAAACCTGATATACAGAAACTCGAATCGTCAGGGGATATAGATGACTCCGTTACTTTGCCGTTTGACCTCTGTTAGTTTCAGATGGCGATGACAGTTTAATAATTGTATGAAACACTATTTGTAAACTACTTTCTGGTGTCTAATTTTGGCGGCCCATGAGTAGATAAATGGACTGATAACGGCACAGATTGATTTTATGTAATTCACAATTGGTACAAAGTTTTATAAGAATATGTAAACTACTGTGTTTTCCCATCGATAACGCGCGCGTAATCTATACCAAGTCGTCAACGTAAAAGATGTTACGTGTTAAGCAATGAAAAATGAAAAAATTCCAAATTATTTCAAGCTACCTGTATGCGGTAATTTGAAACTGGGTATATTGTGAAAATTAATTCGTCTCAAATTATGTATATGTTACAATATCAGTGAATATAAAGGATAATATAATGTAAGATAAAAATAAAATATTAAATGTAAGATAACATTGCACATTCGTATCACGATACTCGATGCGTCACTCTAAACCATAA